GCTATGTTTTGTGTGACTGTAAATAGCAGCACTTCACTAATTGTTTTAACATAGTCCCAATTTTCTTGAACTTGTTTGTTGTGTTCCTTGATTAGGGAATTTAACAGTGTTGTTTTAACAGCCTTCTGATAGTCCATCCACGCAGTCATGGCTTGCTTGTGTCTGTCAGACTTAGCATGAACTGCAAACCCTGCATCTTAGTCGCCTTCTTCCAGTTGTTGAATCCAGAAGGAGAGTCAAATACTGTCTCTGAGCTGCTGTTGGGGGGACTAAAATGTCTGCAGGCGTAGCTTGGACTTTCAGAATATTCAAGCCAGGGGTGGATATTGTACCAGGCTGCTTTAAAATTCCTTTTCCGGCTCCCCATCTGAGTCCTTTGGCACAATTTCAAAACTGGCTGCACTGGTGAGTCATTTCGACAATTGCTGATATCTGTGGAACAAAAACAAAGACAAAAAAAATATAAAATCTATATCAAAATACTTGTGTCTAAAGATCAAAGGCACATTCAATGGAAGTGTGATTAATTTCAATCATAAACGTCATGTGAACTGATAAGTGGACTGATTTGCATTCAGGCAGGGATTGATTCTCCATCAGACAAACGTGATGGTGCAGCGTCTGTGGAAGCACACAGCTCCTGCTCTGTTTCCGTCTCACTCTCTGCTGCCATGCCACCCTCTCTGTCAGGACTCTGGACCCTCACCAGTCTCTCCACCAGCCTCCTGCTCATTTTCTGTCCCTCTTCACCATCTCGGCGTCTCTGCACACTCACGTGATTTTCAGAGGAGAAACTTTGTTGCTTTGAAAGTAGTGAGTGATATCCTTTTTTGTCTCTCCATGCTGGAGCAACGCGTAAAGCAAAAACAAGCGTCACGCCGCCGTCACATTTTCTAACATTATACATGGCGTCCGATAGATTTTTCAATAAACGGCTCTCTGAACTACACAAGTGAAACAGAACACTGAGGTAACGGAGCTTTTAAGCAATTTCACTCACTTTTTTTTTCTTATTTGTCGCAAACGTCTCTAAAGTTCTCTTCAAGTTGCCAGAGAATCCCGCTCAGCACATCCACGAGACACAAGTCTGACGAGAAAACGTGTTTTTTAAAATGTTTTGTTCCGCTTAGCCGTGATTTCCTTCAGACGAAACTCCGAGTTTGTGGGGGGCGGTGTTGTGCCGGAAAAAGCCCCCCCTCCCCTCTCAAGGAGCGCAGTGACAGTCATTTGCCTGTAGATGAAAATAAACAATAAGTCTAACAGTAATATTTAATATCTGTCTGTACATGGTCATGTGCAAATAATGAGAACAACAGGGATAGATTTGGTCTGAGCTTACTGAGAAAAGTTAAAAATGAATCCTGATCCTGTCC